AGGTGTGAGCCACTGCACCCGGCCTAACTTCAGTAGGCTTCCAGCTGCCTCCTCATAAAGAAATAGTCATCCATTTCCTGCGTGTGTCAAACCCTGTGCAAGACCCCTTCACTCTAGCAGTCCCCTCACCTCAACAAATGCATTCATCATATAATAGAGTAATTTTCCTGAATGGTCCATCTGCCTAAGGGGTCAATGTCAAATTCCTTAGCATGTCTCATAAGCTCCTCCATGCTTTGGTCTTTGTTCTCTACTCCAGTCTTTCCCTGCCTACCCCTACCCTCCAGGTGAGTTGACCCACTAGATTCAGCTCACCCTCATCCATACTCATTCATTCAGAAAACATTCATGAGACCAGGCCTAATGGCTCAGGCCTGTAATCCCAGCAGTTTGGGAGGCCAAGATGGGAGGATCCTTTGAGCCCGGAAGTTCAAGACCAGCCTGGGTAACATAGTGAGATCCCATCTTTATTAAAAAGAGAGAGAAAAGAAAGAAACCATTTATGAGGGCCTACTGAGTGCATTGAGCTTTTGAAAGGCACTCGAATTCCAAGATGAAGAAAATGGAACAGTTCTATGCCCAAGGAACTACCACATTACTAAATAGTAGATAATAGCTTTGGGGTGTTCTCCAAGTACCATGGAAAATTAACCCAGACTTGGGGGTCCAAAAAGGCTTTCTGGAAGAGAAATGAGGAAGGGCATCTCAGGCAGGCAGAATAGACAAAAGCCTGGACAAAACTCCTGCCCTCTGCCCAACTGCGATAACTTCCTCAGGTTTTGTTTTGTTTTGTTTGTTTAGAGACAGGGTCTTTCTCTGTGGCCCAGGCTGGAGTGCAGTGACACAATCATGGCTTACTGCAGTCTCAAACTCACTATCCATAGAGCCGATCCTGAAACGTACATCACACATCTCTGCCTGTATAAGCACTTATCCTTGAAGGAAAGAATTGCAATGTTCTTCCTTTATTTGTGTTCAACTGCATTAAGATGGCTCCAAATGCCCAGGGGATGGAGAGGGTCAGAGGAGGGAGAAGGCCCCAGAGAGCATAGGAGAGGAGGCAGTGGCCCAGGGCTAGAGGCATTGAGCTCCTCCAAAACCAAGTTGCTAGAGGAATCCCTGAATCTCCAATTGTCTGATTCTGGGAACCTGTAGGTACTTTCAAGCTGGAAGGGGAATGAGCACCTTTATGATGCCTCTAAACTTGTTTGCTCCCTGGGGACAGTTCTGTGATGGTCAGGCTTTGAATATCTGCATATGAATGAGAAACAGAGACAATAGTTACATAAACCCCTAGGTGGGCTGATTTGGGGAGCAGAATTGGAGGAGGACTGAACTTAAGTTCCTCTGGAAATATGCAGAGCAATTTAATAGACTGCAGAGTCTATTCTGGGCTGGGTGGGGTCTGAATGCTTGAATTCTCTTTATTCCTCATTTAGGCTGAGAGAAGCTGGGGCAGATGGAGCTTCTGGAAGGCCTTTGCACCATGGCCCTCACCTTCTTATTTAAGTCCTGCACACTGCACTTTACTCCATAACCCCGGGCTGGAGCCCCTGCCTCCAGTTCACATCAGATGTCGAATTTTCCAAGGCGCTGAGTTTTTGTGGTTGTCCCTGGTCTGTGACTATATCACAATGCCAAATCTCTCTTTTTTATTTTTATTGAGACAGGGTTTCGCTTTGTCACCCAGGCTGAAGTGCAGTGACACAACTGTGGCTCATTGTAGCCTCAACTTCCCAGACTCCAGTAATCCTCCCACCTAAGCCTCCTCCCTCAGCCTCCTGAGTAGCTGGGACTACAGGCAGGCACTAATGCTTGCAGCATGTACATAGTAATGTAGCATGCCTGGCTAATTTTGTTTTTTTGTTTGTTTGTTTGAAATGGCATTTTGCTCTTGTCGCCCAGGATGGAGTGCAATGGTGCAGTTTTGGCTTACTGCAAACTCTGCTTCTCCGGTTCAAGCAATTCTCCTGTCTCAGCCTCCTGAGTACCTGGGATTACAGGCATACTCCACTACGCCTGGCTAATTTTTGTATTTTTAGTAGATACAGGGTTTCACCATATTGGCCAGGTTGGTCTCGAACTCCTGACCTCAGGTGATCTGCCTGCCTTGGCCTCCCAAAGTGCTGGGATTACAATCATAAGCCACCGCTCCCAGCCAAGTTTTTTTTTTTTTTTAATTTTTTTTGTAAAGACGATGTCTTGCTATGTTGGCCAGGCTGGTCTCAAACTCCTGGATTCAAGTGATCCTTCTGCCTTGGCCTTTCAAAGCGCTGGGATTGCAGGTATGGGCCACCCTGCCCAGTCCTTCAGCACCAAGTCTCTAACGTAACCCCATGTTTTAGCCCCTTCAACAACCCCTTTAACAACTCCTCTCACTCAACATTGCTTCAGAGACCCAGTGTTGTTGCTCATACAGTGGTTACTGATACTGTCAGCAGCGGTGGCTCCCACGGGTCAGAGCTCCATTCTTGCCACCTCAAAGGAAATAGTTCAGCCGCTGGGCATAAGGCAGAGTGACAGACTGAGGCAAGTTTTAGATGAGGAGTGAAAGCTTATTAAAAAGCTTCAGAGCAGGAACAAAAGGAAGTAAACTACACTTGGAGGAGGTCCAAGCGAGTGACTTGAGAGATCCAAGAGCTCCAGCTGATCATACACTGGCATGGTCCTGGGGTGTGCATTCCTCCTCCTCTGATTCCTCCCTCCGCGTGGGCTGTCCTCGTGCTGTGGCCTGCCAGTACTTGGGGAGGAGCCACGTGCACAGTGTGTTCGCTGAAGTCATGCAATGCTCATTTGGGGCGTTCTTCCCTTACCGGTTGAGTGTTGCTAGAGAAAGGTGAAATACCAGTTAAAATCTGCCATTTTGCCTCTTAGTGCACATGCTTGAGCCCAATCCCCCAACTCCTGAGATCTTATCAGGAAGCTGTTGATCACCAGTGTCAGGTGTTTCCTATCTATTGGGAGACTGCCTTCCCTTGGTGCCTGCTATAACCAATTTTTATTTTTATTTATTTAGTTATTGAGACGGAATCTCACTCTGTCACGTAGGCTGGAGTGCAGTGGCATGATCTTAGCTCACTGCCACCTCCACCTCCCAAGTTCAAGCGATTCTTTTCCCTCAGTCTCCCAAGTAAGCTGGGATTATAGGCGCTCACCACCACCCTGGGCCAACTTTTGTATTT